ATTGCTTTTTCATTTTGAAATGGCCTGCAGGTAATTCTGAAAGAGCTTTGGGACCCCAGGCCTGCCCAGTGGGCTCCTTTCAAAGTAAAAGCAGAATGGGAAACTGAGTCGGAAAACAGAAGATAGCAACGTTTTATGGGTCGCAGAAGCTTTGACATCTAATAGAGCAGGGATGTTGGCAGGTCTTGGGGCCTGAGTCTCGAGTTTGACTCAGTCAGGCCCAAGTCCCAAATCTCACGTCTGTGTCTCAAGTCCTTTTGCTGCTGCTGCCACCTCCCCCAGGCTTGGGACTTGGGACCCTGACCCAAAGATTGGGATGGTGCATGCACTGGCCAGCTGATCAGCCACTGCATGCGCAGAGACCCTGGGCTACGGGAAGGGACGTCAGCCCGCTGCCTCCGTGCATGTGCCCGCCTGTCAGCTGGCCGGCTCATGTGTGGGTGGGGAGGCAGTCCCTTCATCTCCTGGAAGGGACTCCAGGCCCGCTGTCTTTGAAGAGGGTGGTGGCAGGTAGGCCGATAGCAGCAGCAGGCAGCGGGGGCGGACCCGAAGGACTCCACCACCTATCTCATTGAAATGGGCCTGAGTTGCAAGTCCCCCCCCCCCAGTAGACTCCCAAGTCAAGTCGTCAGTGTGACTTAACCTGGAATCAACAGCAACGCTCAACATGAAAATTCCCATTAGTGTCATATAGCATAGCGTAGAGCAGACCCTGATGTTGGGAAAGAGTAAGGGCAAGAGGAGAAGGGGACAGAGGACGAGATGGTTGGACAGTGTCACCGAAGTGATCAACATGAATTTTGACCCAACTCCGGGAGGCAGTGAAAGACAGGAGGGCCTGGCGTGCTCTGGTCCATGGTGTCACGAAGAGTTGGACACAACTTAATGACTGAACAGCAACAACAAAAAGGAGCAGGGCAGTGTAGTAGCATACTTTATAACTGGTCAAAGAGTTTCATAAGCCAGAGAGGCTGTAATTATTTTTAACCCAACTCCGGAGTAGATTTAAGTATTTCTTTAACGTGATGGTCTCCTTTCCTTTGTCAGCTTAATGTTTGTTCTTTTGCTTTAACCTCTCTCATCAAATTATGAGCAAAAGAAAAAGAATTTACAAACTGGCAGCATCTTTTGAAGCCCCTGTTCCATTCAACCTGAGCTCTTAACTCTTGCCGTGTTCCTTTTACAGTGGTGAAATTTCAACAGCGACACGTTTACCCCGTTCACTTCAGTGGCTCCATGATAACTCACTGGTGGAACGCCGATCTTGAATTCAACATCTTTTTGAAGAAAGGCACCGAGCGAAAGGTGTTTCCTGCTTTTGAAATTATTTTTCTGGAAGAAATATTGTATTCGCGAAGGCTTTCACGGCCGGGATCTAATGGTTGTTGTGGGTTTTTCGGGCTTCTTGGCCGTGTTCTGAAAGTTCAGAACATGGCCAAGAAGCCCAGAAAACCCACAACAACCAGAAGAAATATTGCCAGTCCGGGTTTTTAGGCCAGGTTCTGGGGTTGGAACAATGGCTTTCAGGGCGGGAATATCTATGTTACTTCCTCTGGCTCTGTTCTCACCTTTCAGTAACACTGACCATGGTGTCCTTCTTGGTTGCCTGACTGGGATGGGATTTGGGGTTGGGATTTTACAGGGGTTCTGGCTGTAGCTGAAGATCTGATTCCCGACCGTAGTGCTGGGAGTGTCCTGTTGGTGATTCACCTGTGGTGTCCCGTAAGTTTTGGGTTTCACCCCTGTTGTGGTGAACCTTGACCTGAAACAGAGGAAGAGATTACCCGGGCATTGGGTTATCCTGTCAGTACGTTGCAGACATTCAGCTCTGCAGGGGAGGTGATTGAAGCCAGGTACTCATTCCCACAATTCCAGCTAGTGGGCCAGTGGGTCCTTTCCTTTCAGGCGTCGGATTTGCCAGTCCTGACACATGCCCCTTTTGACTTAGTAGTCTCGTGGTTTTGACTATAGTGGTGCCTCGCTTAGCGATTGCCTCGTTTAACAATGTATTCGCTTAGCGATGAGGTTTTTGGAGTGATTTTGCGCTCAGTTTAGCGATGTTTCCAAAGGGGAAAATTCGCATAGCGATGTTCGGGACCTTGCTTCGCTTAGCGATGACAGTTTAGGTCTCCCTGTTTCGCTTAACAGTGTCCGTTTTCGCTATTTTAAATGTGTCTTAAAATGTTCAAAAACTGTTTAAAATGCTTGGAATCGTTAGTGCACCTTATAAAACCTTTGCAAACTTAATTTGGCTTTGTTCTGACTCTTCGTTAATTTTTGGTGAATTTTCCCCCATTGGAATGCATTGACAGCTGTCAACCCTACAAAAACCGATGTTTTTTTTTTTTGAACCAATTAAAATCGTTAAGCGAGGCACCACTGTAGTTCAAAGCATTCTGTGTGAGGCTGCCTTTGGAGCAAATTATGGGGAGCCTGTGATTCCCTCCTTGCACCCATTTAGGCTAAGCTAGTTCTGCTCAGAGGCTTCATTGTTGTGAACGCAACACCATACAGGTCCTGTTATACTGAAAAGAGAAGTGAATGACGCTTTTCCCCCTTTCCCTGTGTTCTTCTGTCCTCAGCCCCTGTTGATTGGTTCAGCAGCTTTACCTCTGCGAGAGGTCATTCAGTCTGAGCAGCTGACGATCATTCACAAATTGCCAGTAAAAGCAGAGGGTGGTCCAGCCCGGTTGGGACCTTTAAAGGTAATGCAGCTTGCTTCTACGCTTTGCTTCGTTACGATGCTGTTCCCTAATGGGTTAGTTGAGTATCACATGCTTAATTTTTAAAGGTTTGAATGGGAAATCTACTAAATGCATTCCGGACGTTCAGAACCAATCTGGATGTGCTTGTAAAGGTGTTAACAGGATAACATGATCTCTGCCGCCCTTTTACAACAGTTCCCGGCTTCTTTTTTCTCAACATTGTGAATGTGGACATTGGTTTGAAAAGACAGTGGCGTCAGTCTTTCCTCCTTTTCTTTCCTCCTTTTCTTTAGCCGCTGGTTGGTGACGTATTTGCCGCCAGATCCATTCGTAGCAGCTTCATATTCTCAAGGGCAGCAAGCCCTGTTCTGTAATCCCAGGGTTGTCAAGCCCCTCTATATATTTATTTACTGAGTTAGATAAAATAAGTATTTTGCTTTTTTTTTTTGCTTACTAGGGCTCCCAAATAGGTGGGATAACAGCAAAAGCAAAAAAAGCAGTTTTGCAGATGAGTTATTGTGAAGGTGTAGGTCAGAGTGTGCCGTCCTCAAAAGAGAAAGACCCGAAGGAAGAGAGTGGTTGCGCAGAGGGGATCTTAGTGGAAATAGAACAAGAGGAAGAATTACAGAGGAGACCGACGGAAGTGTGTTTGGTTGATGAGGGAGGAGCTGAACTGGACTTGATCATGTGGGAGGAGGTGAAAGGGGAGGACAAAAACGCGTGGACAAAAACTGGTTTGGGGAAGGCGAGCTGGGAAGATGCATGAATAGAGGGGTGCAGACCGATTGGATAACGGATGAGAGAGGCAAGGCTGACCTTGCTCAAGGCTTCCCTAATTTACAGAAAGGTGGGGGATTGCTACCAGAGCCCCTACCACCTAGCGGACGTGGTCGTGTTTACGAGCCCTTGGAATGGAGGGTCTTGGTTTTCCCGGTGAACTACCCTGGTGGGGGCAGGAGAGTTATCCATCCGGGCCCAGAATTCCAACAGAAGCCCCTAGAGGGGGATTGGGCCCGACATCCCTGCTGTGGGACCATATGTGCCGTGTGGAGCACCCCACTACAACGGTTAACGGATCGCGAACGATTCGGCCCGGCTCCCTGGTAAGGGAAGAGTTAAACCCAACCGTCGTAAAAGCTAAGAGGTATACCTTGTTATCGGATGAAGTGTTGAAGGATCCGTTTGATCCTGTTGAGTTGAGTGTACATTCAAATAAAGCTGTTACTTTGGAAGAAATGGACTCTCCTTGTCTTTTTCCCGCCTTTACTACCCCACCCCCCGGCTGAAGACGGACCTTGTCACAGTTATAAAAGCCAACATTCTTCTTTCACGAAAGCTTGTCCATCATCCCAAATCTTGGCACTGAGGACCCTTTGCCAAGCTTCCAAGGGATACCAGATTCTCCAGATTGAAAACAATCTTTGTCATAGATTGTATTCGCCTTCACAGAGAGCGGGTAACACGGTCTTTCTCTTTTTCTGTGGCAGGTGTCCTTGGAACTCGTGGCCGACAACAAAGATTTCACCAGCGCCAACTCCAGGGCTGCGAGGGTTCCAAAACAAGTTCCGCCCCTGTACGCCGTTCGGAGCCCGGGTGTAAAGCGGCAGGATTCGAGCAAGACTCCAACTCCTGCCGAAAGCCCTCGGCTCTTGACGCAAAGTAATAGGGAGTCCTCAAAGAGAACCCAGGAACCGCCAGGAAGGCCCAGCGTGGCCGTGAATCTGCTGCCGTCAGTCCCTCTGCCCGTGTCCCGTAACCACCTGACCCAGAGGGCGGCCTCGGAAGAGGAAGCCTTGCTACTCCATGTCCTCTTGATGGTCCCAGAAGGGGAGGTGTCTGCCCCCCGGGAGGCTGGGCTCCTCGGCTCTTGCAACGTGTACTTGAACTGTAAGCTCTTCAACTCCGACGAAGCCACGAGATCGGCCGTCATGTGGGGGACCACGACGCCCGCCTTCCGTTTTTCGCAGGCAAGTCACCGTTTTCCTTTCCTTTCTCTAAACGTGACCAGAGTAACGCCGGTCCTTAAAGTTGGACTGGAACAGGGTTGGCTCCGACAATTGTGAGATCGTGGAGCGAAATACAAGGATGTGTCGCTTGTGTTCTGCATAAAGCAGGGTGGACGTTTTCTGGGGTCACGAATTCTCGAGGCCTTAGTCCGGCATCAACAGCTCTTTTGCTTTTCAGACCAAGCCTCTTTCTGCCTGTATGTATTACGCCCCGTAAGAAGGGTCACTGCCACCCGGCAGCAGAGGAACCCTCATTCATGGAGTTCACGCCCAAGTCATTGCTAACCAAGTCATCCAGAAGGTCTAGCATTCAGCTTCCTATGACAGCTGCAAGTTTACTGAATGGATACATAGATTTTAATGTCTTTCTTTAGTGATTTTCTTCCACTCGTAAGGGAAACGATCAGCAAACACAATGACTGAGCTGTTGCTTAGCAAAGTAAGTCACCACTAGAGTAGGCCCATTGATTTAATGGGCCTACTCTCGTGGCTGCTAAGGATGGGGCATCCCCCAGAGCCCCAGCAGTTGTTCGAAATAACTTACAACTGCCAAATAAATGAGAAAAGGTCATCCTGCTGCTGAGCTGCAGGGTTGTATGATGATGCAGGAAGTGACTGGCGAGGCTGAGCTCTGTGGGCCCTGTGAAGCATTAGGGGTATTGTAGTTTCCAGGGAGGGACCCTGTGTGGAAGATAAGGGCCTCGGCAGTGCCACCCACAGAGCTTAGCCCCATCCCGCCGCTTCCTCCATCCTCGTCCAGCTTCGCACCTCAGAAACAGAGGGTGATTCTTTGCGGCGGGTTAAACCGCAGAAGCCTCTGTGCTCCAAGGTCGGAAGACCCGCCGTCGTAAGATCAAATCCACGCAATGGAGTGAGCTCCCGTCACTTGTCTCAGCTCCTGCCAACCTAGCCATTCGAAAGCATGTAAAAATGTGAGTCGATAAATAGGAACCACCTCAGTGGGAAAGTCACAGCGTTCTGTGTCTAGTCGCGTTGGCCACGTGACCACGGAAACTGTCTTCGGAGAAACGCTGGCTCTACAGCTTGGAGACGGGGATGAGCACCGCCCCCTAGAGTCGGACATGACAGGACAAATTGTCAAGGGGAACCTTTACCTTTATTTAAGCTGCCAGAATGCCACAGCATGGCACCCTGTGACACCTTTAAGACCGATGAAGGCTAGAGGCGGTGTTCTGTGTCATCAGGTCAGAGGCAACTTAGAGCAACCCTAATAGGGCCTTGAAGGTAAATGAGATACGAGCCCAGTTCCACTCGCCCAGTCTTATTTCCACGGCTGAGTGGGGAATTCAAATCCTGGTCTCCAGAGTCCTTGTCTGTCTCTCCGCCATACCCCGTTGGGTTTCCGCTTCACTGTGGGTTGTAGTCCACAAAAGGTTGATGTGATAGTAACTCCGATGATCTTTAACCGTAGCCCTCAGACTAATGTTGTTTCTGCTTCAGCAGGCTGATCGGTCTGTGCCCCTTGTGGGAATTGATTCAAAGCTTGCCAGGAAGAGAGGGGGCAAAATAAAACGATTGTGTTGTCTGCGTTGAGGGCTGAGACACCCACCCCCACCCCCGGTGGTTTTATGAGCTGCTGTTGTCCGGAAAGGCTGGAACCAGGCGTGGCGTCCACCTGGCCCAGCTGCACTCACAAGTCTGATCCCATCTCTAGGTTACCCCGATTTCACTGACATCTAAGCATCTGGAGAGGCTGAAGAACAACGTCATGGTCCTCGAGGCATGGAATAAAGGGCCCAGCCCTGGCGGGGACCGGCTGCTAGGACTGGTGAAGCTCCCCCTGCATCAGTTTTATGTTTCTTTCAGGTATGCTGCTTCTCGCCGTTCCTTCTTTGGTTAACGTGTGGCCGATTTGCTTTGTGTGTCCTCCTATACAAAGAACCAAGATTATTCTCCCCGAGGCGGAGTTTTCACCTCACTTCTGGGGAATACGTAATTCCTATAGCAGTCTCCATGGGCTTATGTGATGTTATCTGGAATCCCATCCAGGAACAGAGAAGACCAAAATGTGTGCAAAGCAACATTTGGTTTTCTTCCATGATTGGGGGTTTGTGTATAATTATTTTTATTTGTGAGTACAGTTTCTGCATTGTATGTCATAATATAGGCTGTTAACCTATTGGACTTCTCCTATGCATTAAAGTCCCATCAGCACAGTGATGGGGAATGATGCCCTATAAGCGCTGTTAGGGGTGTGCCGGGGGGAGCCGTAGTGTAGCAGCGACAGGACAACAAGCATTGGGGAACGCAACAGCACAATAAAAATAAAAACCCATCGTCCACAGATCAGTGGAGGCAATAATGGTACTTTAAAGTCCACACTTACCATCCCATCACCCTTTTTCTCATCATCATTTCACGGCCAGGAAACAGTATACAATAGATGAGAAAGAGAAATCATCATCTTGATCATCATCAAAATAAAACACACACATTAAGGGCAATATGGCCAAACCCTTCCAATCCATAACACCATCGGTGGGCGATTGGGGAGCAGTTGCCAAACCAGATATGCAGCTGTGCTGAACCCCTTAGGCTTTAATTAATTAATGAAGACTTACGCGGTTCTGCCTACAACCCAGAGACCTGCTCCTGCTGAATCGTCTCCTCATTTTCCATGTCTGTGATTTTTTCTTCTTTGTGAAAGGTCTCCTAAAGGGCATGTGGTTGTTGAGCTGGGTGGGTTTAGTGTGTCTGAAAAGACCACCAGGCAGTCACGAGATTTGCCCCCCCCTTGTCCCCTCCCCTCTCCAGAGATCCCAAGATTTCTCACCTGCTGCTCCAGGCTCAGTATCCGGTGCTGGCGGTGGATGGCCCCATGCCTTTGGTCGAGGTCTTCTCTGGCAACCGAAGCGGGACCCTGAAGGTCATCCTGGCCATGGGGTCTGCGGACCAGATTGTGGCCCTGCAGAGACTCAAGGACGAAGAAGGGCGGGGTCCTCCTGTGGCACTGCGCCCCCCACATTCTCTGGACCCTCTCGCCACCCCTCTCCCAAAGGTATCTCTCTCTCTCTTTCTCTCTCTGGGCACTGTTAGACTTGCCTAGCTCCCGGAAGGGAGGCGTTTGCTGGGTCACTCCTGTCCCCTAGAGCAGGGGCCCCCAACCTTGGGCCTCCAGATGTTCTTGGACTTCAACTCCCAGAAATCCTAGCCAGCAGAGGTGGTGATGAATGCTTCTGGGATTTGTAGTCCAAGAACATCTGGAGGCCCAAGATTGGGGACCACTGCCTTAGAGCAGTGGCACCCAACCTTGGTCCCCAGATGTTCTTGGATTTCAACTCCCAGAAGCCTTTGCCACAAGTTCTGCTGGCCTGGAGTTCTGGGCGTTGCCATCCAAGACCCAAAGTTGGGAACCCTTGCCCTGGAGACTCACTGAGTCTTGCTCAGTCTCTAAGGACTGTGCCTTTGAGATGCGTCGGTTGGGAGGAGAAGAGAGCCTCTCGATTCAGTGACTGTGTCGCTGCGTCGTGCCCAAGGCCCCCGAGATGGAGGGGGCGATCGGATTCCTTTTGGTGAGTTTCATCCTGAGGGGTGCTCTCTTTGTTCACAGGCATTCTGTTGTGCCTTATTTAGCAGGACGTCCAAGGAAAAGAAAGCTTGATGGAACATGTCTTTGAGATCCACGTGGAGAGTGCCCGAGGGCTCGCCCCTCTCCAATCCACTGTCTGGGGGGAGGCCGACTGCTACGTTCAGTACCACTTTCCAGTTCAGGAGTCAGAATCAGACGTACCGGGCGGCCCAGAGTTCTGTGAGAAAGGTAGGCTTTTACCGCGTGTTAAGTCCTGTATGCCAACCGTGGGGTTCCTTGGTCCCTGCGTGTGGCTTCCGGCTTCTTTGGTTAAATTGCCAAGGTGCCCTCAAATTCAAAGAAAGTAGCCGGAGCCTTCGTTAGGAATGTGGGTCTCAGTGGCTTCTTGGCCAAGGCTGTATTCTCAGCAGCAGCGATGGGCTCCTTACCCCTGGCTGCTCTTTCGTTTTGTACTCAGAGAGGAATGAATTGCGAGAGTGGAATTGGAGTGGAGAACCCCTTTCCGGATGTCCGGTTTGTGAGAATTTCCCCAAAAAATCACCACAATGGTCAGCCTCAGCCTATGGGTTAAAGAAAAGGAAAAGAAGAAAAAAGAAGGGAGGGGGAAAGAAAAAAAATCAAACTGTGGTTGTATTTTAAAGACGAACAGGCTTATTTCAATGTGAGCTTTCGTGGATTTCTGAAGATCTTCTGCAGAGTTTGTGCAGCTGAAGCATCATGTGTACTCCCCTTCTTGCTTTACAGCTGTGGGTAGAATCGGAGCGGTTGCCGGTTGTCTTTTTGAGACCAACGAGCTGTGTTTTCTTCCCAAGGCCTGAGGCTACGGCCTTACCGTTCAACGACGACCTTGTGCGTCCCGGACCCCACCTTCAACGAGGAATGTCGTCACTCGCTGTTGGTGCCTGCTGAGGTCCCTGTCCAGCGGCTGCTGCTGAGTGCTTTCTCTGCCCAGGGCTTGGCAGGAGGAGGGGGAATCGTCTTTGAAATCTGGTGCAGGTATGTACCATTCTACCTTTGCTGCTCGCCATATTCACCAGTGAGGAAAACACATGTATCTTGGTGCCTGCATCGCCCTTTGCTCGAGGGGACTGAGATTCAAGCTTTGGATCGGATGCTCTGGGGGATGAGGGCTACTTACAGACTCCTCAGTGGCTTGGGGCTTGCCTAGTTTAAGGGCCACCAGCTTCCATATAAGATTCCCCTCTGTTTTTGTTTTAATCTGAAAGCCTGCTCTGGGTCTCAGGTTAGGATGATGGGGGGAAACTGCTCCCCTGCACAAAGCTTGCTTGCGTCTAATCTAGTAGGTGCCTGGCAAGGACTTTAACCATGCATTGCTGCATATATATTTCATATGGATTATCATTTCAAAGTATAATTCTGTAGGTTTTACTGACTTCATTGCTGGTGTTTTGGTACTTCAGCTTCGGATTTTGTTTTACATTTTTCTTTCAAGTTGTTTGACTTTTCTCTTTATTTAAATCTAATGTTAGCAGGTTAAAATAAAATGAACTAGGTTATTTGAAATCGAATATTTCTTTCTGTTAATTATTGTTCCTTGTTCGCGCTGATTCATTCTGGAGGGGCAGCTTGGTGATTAGCTTTAAAACGTTTTCTTTTCCTGGGGGAGGTATGAATAGAGGGGGGGGGCGTTGGCTCCTGTAGTTCTAAGCGAGGCTCCCACCTTTCTGTTCTGCGAGCTAGCAGGGACCTTAGGAGAGACGTCAGGGTGGACAGCCCTGGGTTAGGTGGACAACTCACCTCATCTGGTCTAAGGCACGTCCCTTTTCTGTTGACGCCGTCATGGCAGGGTGCTTTTCACCTTACGAAGTTCTTGTTTCTAACGGTGGACAGCCCTGGGTTAGGTGGACAACTCTCCTCATCTGGTCTAAGTCACGTCCCTTTTCTGGCAGGTGTTGACGCCGTCATGGCAGGGTGCTTTTTCACCTTACAAAGTTCTTGTTTCTAACATTTAAATGTTACTTTCTCCTTCGGTGGCCGGTTGCCTGCTGACACTTTGATTTCGTCTCTTTGGGCAGGTACTACTACCCTAATGTCCGAGACCAGATGGTGGCGAGGGGGACTCTACCCCTGTCCCGCCTCTGCGCCCTGGTGACTCTGCAGCACCGGGAGGAAGTGGGGGTCCAGACGTTTAGCCTTCCCTTGCTCCCACGGACAGAGAGCTCGGGAGAGCCCCATCCGCGACCTTCAGGTGACCGACATTGTTGACCCTGTGTTTTCTAGCAACAGAGGCTTGGGTGGGAGAAGTTCCCCCTGGAGAGTGCCTTGCTGCCTTCCCTTTAGAGCCCTGGAATGGGGGCTCGTCTCTTTCCAGTCTCTAAAGCACCTCCCGGTCGTTGGTCCTGCTGGGAAACCGACTGGAACGCCACGGGCCCTGCATGAAGGGCATGAGGGTCGAAAGGCAGGCTAGACGTACATGAAATAAAACCCATAGACAAGTTTGAAAGGCCTTTGTGTCAGTTTCCTATAAAAACAGCAGGCACAGCAAAGGTAGGAGAAGGATAATAATTCCGTGCTGTCTTGTTCGTTTGTGTCTTTTGTCATGGAAAACAGAACAAATGCACACGTGGATGGGTGCCCTTTTATCGGAACCCACATGTCGGAGTTCAAAAAGTTCAGAAGAGGAATTCCCATTTTCTTAGACTTCCCGTCCTCTGGATCTTGCTCCCATTTTTCAGACAGCAAGCAGAGTGTAACAATTTCCCCTCCTGTCTGCCACCTATAATTTGTGGAAGGGGCAACACGGGAGCTGCTAGGCACTGTGCTTGGAGACTGTAACCGGGTGTGAACAGAGAGGCTGACCTTTCTCTTCCCTTTGGTTTTTGCCTGTAGTCCCTCCCTCAAGCTGTTTTTGTCCACTGGGTTTAGGCTGGGTCTGCTTGAAAAAAGGAAAACTGGTCCGGGAAGAAGAGGGCATGTTCAGGATATGTTAAGAGGCAGTCCCCCTCTTTTTGACTTATTTCCTTCGTCCCTCAGGTCTCTCTATTCACCCATGGTAGCTGTAGTTCAATACATGAACTTTTAATGTGGTTCACTGGAGGGAACTGCAGCCTTTAGATTTTTCCACTGTGAGTTCTGTATGAGTAGCAGCATCATTCTCTCTATGCACAGGTTAATGATGTTATTATACTGCAGTGTTGACTAACCCGGTTTTGTTTTCAAAATAAAGCTAAAGGCATCTATCTCTTCTGCGCCCTTTCTTGACCCAGGTTTCCTAGATGTGAGCATCAGGTACGGACGCTGCTTAAAAATAACAGAAGGCGCCCTGGCAGCTCAGACGGTCTCTCTTTCTGTCCAAATACACTTTGCAGCTGGCTTGCAAGCAGCCGCCAGGTAAGAAAGAGCCAAAAAGCTAAAGCAGACATTCTTACGACTTGTCACTATTTGGGAAAGGGGGGGGGGCTCCCTGCTCTGTTCGCCCTGACATCATGAGCGATGCAAAGAGGAATTATTTTTAGGCACTATATAACATTTGGATGCAACAAAAACAGTTCAATCTGAGTTATTTGCACACATTTTTCCTAGTCGAGGTAATACTGGATAATTCTAGATTGTCTGTGCTTCGTTAACAAGACATCTGTACATTACAAGTATTGCAGGGAGAAATTTGGGAGGGAGACTGCTGAAGTGAGCTACATCCACAAATTCTGTTATGCATCTACACGCTTAAATAATGACACTGGTTTTTTTTGTGTGTTTAAGCATGCTTTCTCTACAGTCCAGTGCGTAGCTAAAAAGTTGTGGTGTTTGTTTTGTTTTGTTTTGTTTGGCAAAACCTGGGCCTCAGCACAACCTGCCCTTTCCTGAGAACGAAACGTATCGTTTTGGCATCCCAAAGACAAAACCATAACCATTACCCTCCCTCCCAGCCAGGTGGCTGATGTTATGGAAGGGGGTGGGATGGCCTGAAGCAGCAGGAGCAGTAGCAACAGGGTCCCAGTCCTGAAAAAGGCCGGGGAGCGCAAGCCAGAAATTCTCCCAGACACGTCTCTCACCCGTGCCTGGGGACGGCAGATATTGCAGGCAGCTCCCCCGACGTCAGGAACGCTGGTCTATCTTGCCTAATTACTATAATTTTCAGGATGTTGTGTGATCAAATAGGTTTGAAAAAGTTCATTACCTGTGTTAATAACGCGGAGGTCACTCATTCCTCTTTTCACTCATTTCACTCAGTCTCCCTTCCTCCCTTCCTCCAATGTACAATGTGTGGATAAATCTCTGGCCTCCATGTTTCACTTAACATGTTGGAGGATTGTGATCTGCAAAAAACTGCATCAACATGAACCTATTAGTCTTAAAGGTGCCACATTGCTTCAGTTCTGAACTTTGTTTTGTGGGTTTTCCTTTTCTTTTATTGGTATTACATATTTTATATGTTTCCTATTAAATAAACTAATACAGTAGGACCACTGTATCTGCAGGATCAGTATCCACAGTTTCACTTATCCGCTGCCATAAAATAAAATAAAAACCAGAAGCCCACTTCTCAAAGTGTATTACCAGGTCTGCCCACTGGATGGAACCAGAGACGATGCTTATATACAGGTGACTTAATGGAAATGCACTCCTGGACTGATGTGTCTCTCGGAGGGAGGCAGCTTCCAGTGAAATGGAGGAGCTGCATTTGGGTATGGGGGGCCCGCAGTTGCTGGTTTCAGGAAAGGAGAGCAGGAAACAGAGTCCTTTGGCAAGACGGGGCCAGGGCTCCCTCTCTCAACCAGTCATAGACACCAAAGAAGTTGGTGCTTCATTTATCCGCTGTTTCTGGCATCCGCTGGGGGAAGTTGGACCCTATCCCTTGCAGATACTTGGTCCTACTGTATAAACCCAAACACAGCCCTATATCAGAGCATGGGGTAGACCTGTGTCTAGATGGGCTGGGTATAAATTTAATAAATAAGTAAATAAATAATTTTTTGTAACGTCTGTTTCCATGCGGCTTAGAGCTTTGGCAGAAAAGAACCCTTCGCTCCAATACAGTGCAGAAGTTGGTGTCAATGCCTATGTGTCTGTGCACCTCCCCTTCCTCCCGGAGACAGAGCGGCGCAACACACGACCCGTAGCTCGTACCTTCTGCCCTGAGTTCGAGCACCACGTTGAGTTTCCGTGCCGTCTTGCCATCCAGCGGAGCAGCGGAGAAGCCTGCTGTCTGGCTGAGCTCCTGCATCTTTCAGAGATTATCTTTTCCGTCTTCCACAGGAGCCTGAACTCGGGTAAGTTGACACGAAAGGAGGCAGGTGAAAGTTTTGCCACACCGAAGAAAACTCTGAAGTACGCCTTGAGCCATCCTGCTACGTCTCGGGAGAGAAAAGGCAGGAAAGCGCGATCCTATGAAAAGGGTTTGCCAGGAACGGGAGCTGCTTCTGACAGTTTTCTCATGGGGTTCAAATCTCGCAAAACCCATCGTTAAGACAAGGCAACTTTTTCTGGTCAAGCGCCTCATTTCCCGCAGAACTTTTATAACCTAAGCTCTTTCAACAGATTCTCACTGAATGAATCCATCTTTGTTATCCGATGCAGGTTTGGGGACTCTGTCCTGCTTTAGCTCCCAGGCAATGCCATCAAGCCACTACCTGAACCCACAGACCCAGCGTAGAGCCATCAGCAGTTTTGTTAGGTAGCCTTCAGAGCAGAGGGCAGGACCCGCCAGCCCATGGGGGGCCACATCTGCCCTTGCCAAGATGCCTTGCCTTCTGGCTGTAATCTGACCCCAGGTGGCAACCTCCCCTCCCCGCATCATTTTATAAGTTCCCAGTTTCTGTGCAGACTTTTCCCCGCTGAAATTCCTCTTTGTAAGGTTTATTTCACTGGCAGTAAGGCTGGTATTCCAGTCCCACCCTCTTGTCTTTGATCTTTTGCTGGCCACGACCTATGAAATTTAATCTGGCCCTCAGGTGAAAGAGGTGGCTTGGCCTTGATGTAATATGTAATATGATGTGACCTTTCCTTTTGATTTTACAGCTTCACATGCAACAACACCTCAGGCTTCAAGAGATTATCTGCTGGGAACTGTGAAGGTTCCAACCAGAGACCTGTTGCTCAGAAGATCAGGTAAGGACACCGCGATTGTCTCCAGTATTTTGGGCAGCGTTGCTTCGGGATTGAGGGGCTCCGGACGAAATGAGGAGACCCGTCTCTCCCAGTAAATAACCACGGCGGTCTCTCTGTGTGCTCTTTTAAAGGTATTAGAGGCTGGTACCCAGTCACTTTGCCAGAAGATCTGATGCCTTCTCATTGTGCCAACATCATGCAAAGCGTTGCTGGAGGCCTGGAGCTTTCCGTTGGCTTTGTTCACCCTGAGGACCGAGAGCGTGTTCTGGATGCTGCTAAGCTTTTAGGCTGGAACTGGGACGATGCAGAGCCTGAGAGACTGGAGGATGATAGTGAGGGTGAATACCAACCCGTTCAAAACCTCACAACAGTGACTGTTTCTATCCCAAGGCTGTGGCTACCACTGCAGAGCGTGCTCCTTGCAGGAGAGACACAGATCAATAGGAGAGTCTATTGCTACCTTCGCTATAAGCTGTATGATCAAGAAGCCACGTGGACGTCACTTAGGAAGCCCAGATTAGCCGAAGATCAGAAGCAGGTGACGGTGACCTATAAGAAAAGCAAACAAATGGGTCTTCCGCAGAGCCAGGCGTTACAGTGGTACTTCAGGGAGGAAAGATTGGAATTTCAAGTGTGGCGAGCCTTCGGGAATGAAAGCAACGTGGAAAGACCGCTGGATACGGACCGCCTGATTGGATCAGCCTATGTGGACCTTTCAGGGCTCAGCAAGAGCTCGGGGAAAAAGAGAACCGTCAGCGGTAGGTTTACGACTATCCGTAAAAACAGTTTGTAAGGGACAAATGTATGGTCTGTATTTATGATTGCCTCGAGAGATAAAGATGGTTACTTCCGTAGATGACTACTTGAAAGGAAGGGGCAAGATCCTGGCAGGATAGGGCCTTGGACATCCCTGACCTCAAGTGTAGAACCTCCAGGTGTAAACCTCTGATTACCTCTAGAGGTGGTTTGGATCTGCTGTAACTTGCCCCATCCTTCTTTCTTTTTTCGTATCAGAGTGTTGCAATTATGGGCATCTATGAAATTTAGGTAACATTAAAAACAAATTAAATTTTAAAGTATTTTGGACCAGACGGGGGAAACTTCAATAGCAGTATCTCAGCCATTTGCTAGATCGCCACCCCTTTTTGGCTTTTAGGCTGCCAGATCTTTGAGAGCAGAGCAGTTCAGCTGGCAGAAAGAGGGTTTTTCCCGCAGAATAGCATTTTTGCCTCCATCAGGGTATTTCTGTTGGCAAGAAAAGTTCAATACAATTCTGCTAGCCTGCAGCTTCTGTCCCTGATGTAAAATTTGACCTGCCAAGTGGGTAACCACAACAAGTTGGAAATTTTTAATTAATAGTGATAATAGATGGCTATGTTGTTCTAGTGATTTCACCAGTGTCTTCCAACCTTATTTTTTTTCCTAAAAATAAGTGTTTGTATTCTATGAAGACACATATATAAGCCAATAATATTATCAGATTTCTCATGGAATCACTGTCAGTGGTCTTTGGAACCTGTTCCATAGACGTCTGGTTGAGAAACACAGGATTGGCCAAGATATTACAAACTCAGAAGGATTTGGGTAGTTTCTAAATTGCCTCTTCCTTTTACTGCAGTGCATTGTCTGGTTCAATCATGACATCCCACATGACATCCTAAATGAGTCACTTTATGTTTTATTTGGATGCAATAACATATTGCCTGATGTTGATGAACTGGTGAAGTAAAATTCCCAAACCATGCTAAAATCAGGGGTTTGCAGCTTCTAGACTTTTTGAAAATAGGGGAGAGTTGTTAGCCAACTCATATTTCAGTCCCAGCATGGGTGTCATAATGTCAGGGTGTGCCGTTTTCCTTGAGAGTTGGGCATAATTCTACCTAAGTATTAAAGTGGTTGTGAGAATGGGGAGAGAAGCTAGAACCCGGTGACCAAGCACATGCTGACATAGCCGTCTCCAGCCTGTCCGTTCAGTCCCTGCCATCTCTGGTTAATAAATAGCATAAGGATCGGGGGGGCGGGAAAGTTCTGCCTCCACCTGAAACCATGGAAAGCTGCTACCCATTAAAGTGGGCAATATTGGCTGAGTTAGACAGGTAATCTGAGCTGGTGCTTATACAGGCAGCGCCAGCAAACGTCATTTTGTTTTGTCTTTATTTTTGTAATACTGTATTTTCCAGGGTTTATTTCCTCCCCACCCCCAAAGGTCCCATACGGGGCTTCTGTTCCTGAACCTTGCTCCTGTTCTCCTGACAGGTGTCTTCCCCCTGTTTCGACGAAATGCTTCCAACTTGTCGGGAGCAGCTGTGCGCGTTCACATTGCTGTGTCTTCCGCTGGTGTGGATGGGCTTGAAGGCGAAAGCCGTGGTGATAGCAGCTTCAGCGAATGCGAAGAACCAAAGAAAGCGCCCGAGCCGGACGTCAAACTCCACTTGGAACCGAGTCCTTCGGCTTCCGAGATCCTGGCTAAGAAATCGGAGGAGTCCCCTCCCTCGGTGGACCACGAGAAGACGTTTGCAGCTAGCATCCTGGTGGAAAGGGCCATGCACTTGAGCTTAAAGGGTAAGGAGAACGCTGAACCACTTGCTTGCAAATCGCACAAATAACGGATATGGGATTTTCACCTGTGCATGATTAAGATCCACGCTCTGACCTGAGAATAAAATTCCATTGGCGTTTGGGTAAGGTGGGTGCCACTCAACTGAAAAGATGCTGTGACCCTTTTGGATTGGTTCACTGGTCACAAGCACAGTTGCACAATTGAGAATGCACTGCAACACCTTGTTGGGTGCCCGGAATTGCGTAGACACCAGGAGGCCCATCTCATTAGTGTCTCACACAGAAAGGGGATGTGTCTCTTCTGCAGAGGGGAGATGACTCTGAGTTGTCAAAGGCAAAGCCTGTTCCCCTGGCCTTGCAGGTAAACTCGGAAAATCCATGTGCTTGTATATCGGAAATTTGGGGATTGCAGAGTTCAGCTTGTTGTGCTCCACCGTTTGCCAAGTGTCATTGTCATTCTCCAAAGCCTTTTCCTTTCTTTTTTTTCCCTTTCCCTTTCCTTTTCCTTTTCTTTCCTTTTCCTTTCCTTTCATTTTCCTTTCATTTCCTTTTCTTTCCTTTTTTTCTTTCCTTTCCTTTTCCTTTTCTTTCTCTTTCCTTCAGCCTTGACATCTTTCTAGGAACACCCTCCGGTACAACTTCCATCCGTTGAAATGGATGCTCCCTGGGAGCTTATGCCTACCTCTTGCACAGCAGCACCTGTGCACATTGCTGTGAGATTTACTACAAGGATTATTCTCAGCCTCATGGTGGGCATTTAGAGATGGGTGCTAACCATCGAACGGATGAATTGTGCCAGTGCGTGCTCGGGTCACACAGGTTGTTTGGCATTTTCCAGCCTCGCCCCTTCCAGCAGGCACCCCCTCGGGGGCAGAGCCCTGGCTTTCCTCTGCCTCTGAGCGGGCACTGGGCGGAGGGGGCCGGGCTGGAAAACATCAAACCCCTGTTTAGTTGTAACGCGAACCAGCACACGCCAGCATCTTCCCTTCTTTTTTTTTGACCGAGTTCCTAAGATTATTTTGTCAGTTTCTACAGTTGCATGTCTTGAACAGTTTGACACAGTATACTGTACATTTATGAGAGGTGGCTGGATAAGCTGCGTGAGTCAGGTACTGTATCTGGTTGCAGAGCCAGAGGCTGGGAGTTGGATTCCCCACCTGTTTCTCTGGGGAGAAGAGCCAGCCTGGGTGGCCTTGGGCCAGCTGCCTAGTCCCGGGGCTCCCCCAGAAGAAAGGATTGACAAGTCACTTCTCAGTATTCTCTGTACTGTACTTAGAAAACCCTGAAAAGGGTTTCAGTAAGCTGGAATTGACTTGATGACATTCTGCCACTGCTATTATTATTGTTGTTGTTGTTGCTGTTGTTATTCATTGCTGCAAGTAAAAAAAATCTGTTTTCAATATCAGAATATTCTTTAATACTTCTATCAAACTCCAGTATCAAAATATTCTTTGATACTTCTATCAAAATATTGCAAAGCTCAGGAGATTTTAGTGCAGGCAATTTCAGAGTGCTGGTCACCAGAAGGGAATTTGTTCACCGACAGCTTTCCCATCAGAGAACCTTTTGTTCTAGCCTGGCTTTGGATTCCGTTGCATCCTGAATCTCTTGTAGCCCAGGAAATGTCCATCAGTTTCATGTTCCACATTGTTTCATTCTCTGGAATGGCCTCGAGGCCATTTCCAAAACGACTGTCCTGAATTTCTCTGCAGAGCCACATCAGGGACTTTGTGCCAAGCAGCAGATCAATGAGGTTAAGCCAATTCACTGATCAGGTAATCTGTTTCCTCACGGACCTCTTCCCATAACTTTCAGTTCAACAGCCCAGTGACGGCAAGCTTTAAGTCTAGCCCATTTTCATTCTATTTCCTGGGACACTCAACAAACCTGCACTTGGTTTTTACCAATCTATCGTGTTTCCCCAAAAATAAGACAGGGTCTTATATTAATTTTTGCTCCAAAAGACACATTAGGGCTTATTTTCAGGGTATGTTTTATTTTTGCATGTACAACGATTTACATTTATTCAAACACAGTCGTGTCATCTTCTTCTGGTTGCTGCACAAGGATAGAGGTTGGGGGTTCACTGGGGCTTATTTTGGGGGGGTAGGGCTTATATGACGAGCATCCTGAAAAAATCACACTAGGGCTTATTTTCATCATAGGTCCTATTATCGGGGAAACAGGGTACCTATCTATCTATAAATTTCTTAGACATTTAAAGACTAAGCTTAAGAGAAAAAAAAGTTCTGGAGAATCGGGGGGAGGGGAAGTGCATGGAGGTCAGGAATAATAAAGCTGCTTGAGGTAGCAAGAACCCAAAAAGAATGGAAGTTAGTGTTGTCAAGAAGCTGTCCAGATTAGCGAAGCCGAATATTGGTGTCTCCCAGTAAGGAGGCTTCTGCCAGTTACGGTGACATCGTGCTTTGTGCTTGGCACTGTCTGGGCAACAGCCTGAGAGGAACCTGCAGAACAGATGGTCCCAAAGACAAAACACAGATTGCTTGGCTGAAGACTGTCCTTGTTCCCCCCCCCCCAGTCATTTTTGGATGAGAAGAGGAGGAGACTGAGCGTATAGGGGCCACGTGTGCTTTGCAAAGTTTAAGTGGTTCCTGAGAGCAGAAATCAACATGTTGAAATTTGCAGCTTCCATTTTAAAATATTGGCCAGGAATGTCTTCGACATTGAGTTGGAAGGGGGCCTGTAAGGTAGTCGAGTTCAACCTCTTTGCTCAGTGCAGGAATCCAAGTCAAAGCAGATCTGACAGGCGGTGGTCCCATTTTCTCTTGAGTGCCTCCAGCGTTGGAGCGCTCACCACCTCCCTCTGAGGTCAAGGGTTCCCTTGTCGTACTGCTCTAACAGTTAGGGAGTTTTTCCTGATGGTCAGCCTAAATCTTGTTCTGCACAGATCGTGTTTCTCCTCTGTAGGATTCCCTTTCAAGTATTTGAAAAGCGCTCTCTGATCTCCCCTCCGTCTTCTTTTCTCAAGGCTAAACCGGTCCAGTTCTTTTAGTCTTTCCTCCTCCTAGGGCTCGGCTTCCAGCCCCCTGATCCTCCTTGTTGCCCTCCTCTGAGCTTGATCCCGTTTGTGCAGCATCCTTCTTAAAATGTGATGGGGGTCCAGAACGGGACACAGTATTTCAGATGAGGCTTCACCAGCGCCAAATAGAGAGCGATGTTAGCACCCAATTTCAGTCCCGATTCTCCGGCAGGGATAACAGACAAGACAGTGCATCGATCAGTCTATATGTAAGCCAATTTATTAAGCATATAGCTGGGCTCCGATCCTAAGAGGCGGACCGGGCCCCCCCCCATCAACCATTGGTAAAGCATTTTATAAGTTTCTTACACAAAGGACAATAAAGCACAGCATCCCCTATTGGTCTCCTGAACCCTAATCTTAAAGTTCATTGGTTAATGGGTGCCCGTTGGGTCATTCTATTGGCCGTGATAGATGTAAGAAATTATTGAAATTGTATCCCAAACCCCCCTTTGGACCTGTGGGTTAGTGGAGTCAATAAGTTTTGTATTTGTGTGACCCATTGTATATTTTATGACCTAGTTTGTGTATTTGCTATAGCAGCAGCACCTCATGGGATTGGGAGACTCTCCTTCTGTTAACACAGCCTAAAATAGCATTGGCCTTTTTTGCCTCCATATGGCACCGTTGGCTCATATTCAGCTTTTCATCTACAACAATTCCAAAATCCTTCTTCCTCATAGTATTACTGAGCGAAGTATCCCCCATCCTATAATTGTGCGTTTGTATCCCCCCCAGGTGTGCAACTTTGTTTTATCCCTGTTAAATTTTATTCTGTTGTTTTCATCCCAGTGCTCAAGCCTTTCAAGATCTTTTTGAATTTTGTTTCTGTCTTCCAAGGCGTTGGCTATTATTCCACCTAGTTTTGTGTCATCTTCAGATCTGATCATTATTCCCTGTACCCCCTCATCCAAATCATTGATAAAAATGTTGAAGAGTATTGGGCCCAGAACTGATCCTTGGGGTATCCTGCTTGTTACTCTTTCCCAGTTTGGGAAGGATCTCTGAGCACGATTCTGTAACCAACAGTGTGTCTGCTTGACAGTTGTTCTATCCAGCCCACACCTAGTTAGCTTGCTAATCAGAGTATTATGGGGCACTTTGTCAAAGACTTAGCTGAAGTCAAGATATATTATGTCTACAGCACTCCCACCATCTACCAGGGAGGTTATCTTGACAGTATACACTAGTGTGGGCCTAACTGTATTGACTATAGTGTGTTTAGTCTACTTTCCTATGTTTACATTATCAATTGATAGGAAGCCCACAATCAGGACATTTGAGTGATGGTTCCTCTGACTTGTTACCAAGAGGCTGGTTTTCAGAAGTGTACCACCTCTGGTCCTGGAGCTACTGTATATCTAGGGTGACAAATGGTGATTAATAAGTTGCTCCATCTTCTATGACTGATAGGTGCAGGGATGTGTGAATGGTGGGTGGAAATTCAGTATCCTTGGTTTGTCCTGCTCATGGACGTCACTGTTTGCCAGATGTCTGAGAAGCTGAGGCCTCTTTCCTCCTCCACAGCTTACAAGAAATGGGGATCCTAAGAGTTCTCACCCACATGTATTGAAGATAAGCAATGGGACAAGTTCCTTTTTTCCATCTCAATTAAAGATTGCTCCAAAGAATCGTTATACCATTATGTTGTTCCTGTTGGCCCCCTGCCTTGTAGCTGAGCTCCCGATGAAGGTTGCTGTACCTCTCTCTCCTAAAGTCGCCTGTGGTTTCATGGCGGCCTTGTTGTCTCTTGTGATTCAGGGAGTCCTCTCACTGAACGCGGAGTAACGGTACCCAGCAGTTACGTGTCCTTTGTTGCCGCTGATGCTGACAATCTGATCACCACAGAGGTTGTTGAAAATACCGAGTCGCCCGTTTGGGGCTTTCAGCGGCAGACCAGGTAGGTACCCTGGTCCCTGAAGTCGGTGGTTCCCAAACCTCTCCCACACCCAGCTCTCTCGACCTGTCCCGAAGCCTCCCTGACGCAGAAATGGGGCTGCCGCCATTGCCGCCTCTGGTTCTCCTCCTGCTGTTCAGAGACAACCGGGAAGAGGGGTGCCTCTTCCCCCAGGTTTTCCGCCTGGGCCCAGGCAGAGCATGAAGCATGATTCCGGCTGGCAGGCAGGGAGACATGCCGATCAAGGAGAGAGGGAGGGTGACGAAGGGCGAGAGGATCCCACAGTGGTCCTGGCTGGGTTTGGCGGTGCCCCGGGACACTGCAGCCCACTGTTTGGGAATCCCTGCCTTAAGTGCTCTCAGGCTTGCACGAGTTGCTCCCCAAGCAGTCCTCGGGCATAGTGCCATTCTGCAACATTACCTGTGGGGAGAAAAAAAAATTGTCCCGATGGAGCAATGAGAGCCGCAGTCAAAAGAGAACTGCTCTGTTTTGCAACTCGCCAAAATCCACCTAAATCGCTCTTCTGCTATGAGGTAGTGCTGGGAGGGAGTGGTTTATTGCAGGAGAAGCATCTGGTCGTAGGAGAGGCAGCTCACAAAGACACCCGCTTTTTGCCATTTTGCTGTGCAGCAGTACCCTCTGCTACTCAGAGTCTAGATTTCCTGTTTCTCATAGAAACCTAGCATGGAGCCCGATCAGAAGCATGGACAGTAGGCAAATTGTTGGTATAGAAAGCACCGGCCTTTTGATAATTTTTTAAAAACCCACCAATTATGTATAAATCATAGATTGGCAGGAGAATGCCTATGGGTGATACAGGTGAAATTCACACCCATATAAACCCAAGACTCTATTCTCAACCACTTATTGATTGCATTGCATTGCATTGCATTGCATTGCATTGCATTTATACCCCGCATATCTGGTCAAACGACCACTGTATTAAAAATTATTTCTTTGGCAGCTCTTTAAGGTAACGGACTTGGCTGAAAATTGACTGTGATTTCTTTCCCAAATCCATAAATTTGTTTTTGTCAAAGCTGATGATTTTGAAGGTGTGTATATATAGCTTATTACAAGTTACAGCTGTTGTGAAAACTTCCAGGCTCCTGTTGACAACTTGAAGGCATTTCCCCAAAGCTAGAACATAAATAAAGCATAAAAACAACTCTAAAATAGAAATATGTAGACCATGTTTCTGCACTCACTTAGAGGTCAGAGCCACTCGTGATTGTGATCATTTGGGCTCTTGGGAAGCTGTTGTTTCCAGCAGCATGGAGACAAAGATTCAGACATATCAATAGTTACGAGAGGGAACAGTTTGTTGAAATGAAGCAAACAATTATCTCTAGACTATTCCATAAATAAGAGTGTTTGCTATTCTCTTGTGTCCCCAGTTCTGCCACCTTACACCCACCAAGGTTATTTTCTATTTCTGCACCTCTGACCATCTCTACCCTAATTCTCTGGGATATGGCAAGAATTCAAACGGAGGCAGAAAGTTTTCCAACTGTTGATCAGGAGGAACATTTCCCACTTTTGTAATGAGGCAGAATTCACCCAGTGCTCCATCACTCCCTATGCTAGTCCAGTCATGTCCTGATTGTCAAGAGAAACAGTGCCCAAATGCAGCCATTGGGGAGAAGTGAGGGGAAGTATCTTGAACCCCAAGATTTGCAGGAGAAAAGAAGAAGGTGGGGGTGAGGGAAGAGCCCAAAGGTGAGGAGGGGGAAATAGTTCCGGACCTGGTGTGCTCAGTAGCCATGGACTGTAGATGGTCAGCTGCAAAAGGAAGACAGAAACCCCCTACTTGGGGTTGTGGAATGGAATATACTGGAGGAGGTCTTGGCTTGCTGGGCCACCCTCCCTTCCTCAGCCTGCTGTTCTTTACACATGCTTCTTGTTCCTTGTTTTTATTCTTCACAGGCTGTCGAAAGAACTTCTCTTAGATCCGCAGCAAACTCTTGTCTTTAAAGTGTGGCATAAAGCAGGTAAGACTTTTTATGGTTATATCTACCGTGTGACCAACACCTCCCAGAAACCAAGAGAAAATACTGGTAAACCACATTATGCAGATCTAGACTAGGACACATTTTCCACGTCATAGCGCTCTGCTCTAACACTATTCCAATCAGAACTATTTTTAACACTTAAGTTTCAGCGAGGTTGCAAAACGCTTTGGTCTCAGAGGTTAAGGGGTGAAGGAGACAGGCCCTGGTTGGACTCTCTCGCCCCAAGATGTCCTTCACAGACCGTCCAATTAAGCCAGCGGCCCTCGTTTCACAAATCAGGGGGATCCTTGTGTAGGCATACCCTATAGGGCAGTGGTAAAGATGACTAGAACACAACGTGTCATGGTTTGATGTGAAAGTCATGGAAATGACGCTTGCAGACCCTTTAGCAGGGTCAAATCCTCACTCTTTAAAACTATGAGCCCTAACTCTAGTGGGAACATGACTACTTGGCATGCTTTATGGGCTAGCAAAAAAAAAAAAAACACCATTTGGCTCAGACCATTGGTCCTTTCTCTAGTAAAAGCATAGGGCAGCCATAGCAGTCCGTCTCATTCTGATTTTTCCTAGAATGACCTGCTTCCCTTTGTTTGAGTCAGCTTTGAGTATCTGTGTTCGGCTTTTTAGTTCCTCTTCTCACTTCCATCACAATGAATTGAGAAGGTGTCTTTAAAGTTGTCCTTTCATGCCAGAAGGAATCAGTGCTCCTTTCCTGCCCACTTTCCTCTGTGTCATGTACATCCAGATCTGTCTGCGGGATGTGTTGCAAATCTGTTTTACGTCCAAGTTCAATGAATTAAGTCAAAATTAAAGCACGTCTTGGATCCTCACGGCAGCCAGGCACTTAGGAGTCAGCGTCGTCTTATGCATTACGGAGCTGTCTCCATCCTTCTCTCACGGCCTTCAAACTTGCAGCCTTACAAGTTAAACTAGCAATCCCTTCCTCACCAGTGTCTTAATTTCAGATTCTGCTCTACGCTGAATATTTAGCTCAGGAAGTTAGATCTGCAGCTGGATGTTATCTGTCTTCTCTGAAAACAGAATTTGGACTTCTAAGACCTTCAGTCCAAAATACAAATTCAGTTTGCAGGAGACCAGCCAGACAGTGGCTGTGTTTCTATCCTGTATTTGTTGCAAGGAGTTATCTCTTGCTAGTTTGCACCGCCATCCCAGGATGGGAGGAAAAACAGAAATATTGTTCTAAAAGGAAGCTGCGGTTGGTTTCCGTTGTCCTTGAATTTTCTTGAGACAACGGAAAGGGTAAACATGCCTGCCGATGGTGGCGGGACCGTACGCGTACTCCACATACAAATCGTGGAACTTGGTTCAAGCAGTCGTGGGAGAGTTTGCCACTTGTTTCTCTTTCCACGTGGGGGCCCTCCCTTGTGAATGTTTTGAGAAGTCTTACAGAGATACCCTAGATGTAAAGTCGGTGGTGGGCCTGGGGCGGATGACTGCACTCCCATTTATGTGTGAAAGAGCCAGAGAGAAAACAGAGACAGGCAGACAAAGAGGTGGCATCAGATAATGAGAAAAAGAGGTGGCAGCTATAAATCAGACATTTGCAGACAGAACAAGCCATGTTTATTAAGAATTCTTAACTGAGATGTCTCCATTGTAGCATATGAGTGCCAAGAAGCCTGATTGTCCCACTACGCGTGACCTTTTTTCCCCCTTTCCTTTCTCTGTCCCCAACTACAGGACCTCAGATGCAGCTGACTGCATACAGTATCCCATCATGCTGCCAGCTAGCTCGGCAATTCAGAATGTAGGAGAGCCACCTTTCACCCTCGGGTGGTAAAGTGATTTGTCTTCTGTGGCACTTGGAGAAATCCTCCTGGACGTATTTCCTCAACAACTGCTTTTCTGTAATGTACCCTACAATGTGAACGGTTGCAGAGACTGATGCTTGAAAGCTGCCATGTGGATGTAAGGAAAGAGATCCATACCAGAGGAATAATTCCTACAGATAATCCAACCCTGGCTCCTTTTAGAGTTTAAAGATAAAGAGCAACAACAACCAGCATTCTCTATATTCTGTTCAAGCCATCATCTTTTGCCATGGCCTGCATTTTTTTTGGTCCTTTGAGGCTTATGCCGCTGGGTAAATCATACAAACAACCAAGGATTGCACTTAGGTAGACCTGCTTGGATGCAAATTTTAACAGATGTTTTCTGGCTGCCATATTTGTCGACCTTTGCTTTTTCCCTGCAGATGTAGAGCGTGTGATAGGATTTGCATCGGTGGATCTGTCCCCGCTCCTCTCTGGCTTCCATTTAGTCTGTGGTTGGTATAACATCACGGACTTCAGCGGCCAGTGTCAAGGACAGATCAAAGTGGCCGTCTCTCCTCTTGAAAATATTGCTCATCTCAAAGAAGAAAGGCAGGCAAGAAGCCAGATGAAAACCCTGGGGTGCTCCGTACGTACATTTCTCGCTTTTTCAGCTGGGCTTCTGTTTGCTGGGCTGAGAGGAGGGACAGGAGCCTTCTGGATTGGCTACCTGGGTTTAATGCAAGATAGTTCTTAGGAGCCATAACTGGACTCACGCTGACTTCGGATGATAGCTCTCTTTAATCTCAGTGTGGGATTTTGAAAGTTGTGGTCAGAAAATGTAAGTTCCCAGTCTTGTGGCACCTTAAAAGACTTAACAACCTCCATCAGGCTGCATTTTTGAGATGCTGGCTAGATAGCTCAGTGCTTTAGGCATCTGGCTGCAGAGCCACGAGCTTGGCAGTTCAACTCTCCGCTGGTCATCTCTGGCTAGATAGCTCAGTGCTTTAGGCATCTGGTTACGGAGCCAAGAGCTTGGCAGTTCAGCTCTCCGCTGGTCATCTCCTACGAGAAGAGCCAGCCTGTGTAGCCTTGGGCAAGCTGCATGGTGTTTGACTTATGGCAATCCTTTTCAGGGTTTTCTAGGTAGTCAGTTGTTGTTGTTGTTTAGTCATAGTTTCCATAGTTATCTGGATTCACCCCTAGTTAATCAGTTTGCTTTCAAGGTATCACAGGACTCATGTTCATGTTGTCTTGTAAGGTCTAAATGACCCTATCCAGCCATCTCATCCTCTGTCGTCCCCTTCTCCTCTTGCCTTCACCCTTTCCCAACATCAGTGTAGACAGTACTCAAAAGTAATTCCGGCACCCCCGGAAAAAGTGAATGAGGAATTACTTTTGAGTACTGTCTACCTAGGAAATCCTGAAAAGGATTGCCATAAGTCAACATTGATTTGATGGCACATGATTATTATCAACCCATATCCAGGAGTGCAGGAAATGGCACCCTAACAAACTAATGCACTATGTTGCACAAGGATGACATTTTAAAAGAGTTTCCATCGTTATCTGGATTCACCTCTGGTAAGTCAGTTCGCTTTCAAGATATCACAGGGCTCACGTTCATGTTGTCTTGTAAGGTCTCTGTTTGTTTTCAAAACCAGATGAAAGCTCTCATTTTGCCAGAGGATTGTGAGAATTCCTAGTATTGTTGTTCAGGAAAGTTTTTTTTCCCTGCAGTTTGCCTCTTTATTATTATGTTACAGGTTCCTGCAACAAACCCTTCTGCTTTCCAGGCGAGGGGCTTCTATTCTGCGTTTTCTTCCTTCTCCACCAAAGGGACCGAACAGCTTTTTATCTCCTCATCAAAGGGCTTTGATGCTGCCAGTCATGAGAAGTAAGAGGAGACAGGTGGTCTGAGAGAGTCATTTGTCAACTAATTTATTCATTTGTATTTTCGTTCGTTCTTTTGTATTTTCTTTCTTTTGTTCATTCGTTCGTTCTTTTGTTCGTTCTTTCATTAGTTCATTCGTTCTTTTGTTCGTTCATTTTTTCGTTCTTTCTTTCATCTTTCATTTGTTCTTTCTTTCGTTCTTTCTTTTTTTTCCTTTCTTTCTTTGATGTATATACTACCCCATTAGTGCATGCACAATAATTTGATAGCACATAACAACAATAACATTTTGGGGCATGGAAACGGGGTACAAATAAAATTGCAGAACAAATAGCTGCCATTTTCTCTTTGTGATGTTGGAATCCTCAAAGCATGGGAGGGGGGAGGTGCTATAGATCCTTGATGGAGGATGTGGGGAAGGAAGCCCGTGGTTCAGGAAAAAGGATTAAAAACAAATGAAATAAAAAACAAAAACGGGGCATGTTTTTGTTTTTTATTTCATTTCTGTTTTCTGGATATGCTTGCAGAGACTAACCTGGCTCCTTCTCTGAGAAATTTCAAGAGTAGCTGACACCCCCCACCCCCCCGTGTCTTCCTTCTCAGGGCGGGATCCTCCGGGTCCTGGATGCCACGTCACGAAGAGCATGTGCAGAACATCCGCCGATTCCACGAGTCCCTCCAGCAGGCAGAAGGGAGCGCGCAGCAAGCCCGAGCGCTGGACTCGCGGTCCTATTCCTCACGCTCCTCTCTTCTCAGAACACTCAGGTAGGGAAGGTGCGTTACGGAGTGCTGAAAGGCCCGCTGGGAAGGGAAGCCTCACGTCGAATGAGCCTTGCGACTCGTTTCGGTTTGGCTCCTTATCACACTTCACTTGCCACGGCCTTGGTTCTCTCCTCAAAGAGGGGTTCTAGAGTGAGTGATCTTCTTTATAATGTGTGAACCAAAACTAAACTTCGCAAGGCCAACAGGTATGCGCCCTCTGTGCAAAATTTAGCCCAGTGTCCTTAGAGAAATAGTCCTCGAAAGGAGCAAAGAGAATTTATGTTTGCAACTGGCTCTTCTTCGACAGCCATCCCCATGCCTCAAAGTACGCCTTCCGGCTTCCTCAAAAGTTCTTCCTTCCAAATTCCAAGTCTCAGTAACTTGGGCCTTTTCAGTGACAAGGATGATTCATTTGGCCCAGATGATTTATAATCTATGTTGGTGGAACAGATTGGCCGGTGGAGGCAGGGAAGGAGAGCCAGAAAGTCGGTGGAAGTTTCTTTTTAGCACCTCGCATTTTGTTTCATTGCTGTTGCTTGTTCTGTTTTCTTTGGTGCAAGTGTGCTTTTTCAGGCAGCTTGCAGTCCTGGATTGAAAACTGTTTTGAATTCATTTTAAAGAGCGCCACCTCATATGAGTCAATGGGACTAGGTCACCGTCAGGCAAAGCATCAAGAGCAGCATCCGAGGAATGAATTCCCCCCCGCGGTGTTAGCCCGCTGCCATCAAAGTTCTCTTGAAATGAGGCCCCCTTGGATGATAACACGTGCGCTCAGTGGGGAGGAATTTCCTTTAATTCTTTAGCAAAGTTTGCATCTTTCGAGATCCTGCACTTCTGAACCCAGACAATACCGTTTCTGGATCCTGCCCGGGAGCAGCCCTGTTGGCTCACCTCAAAGGGCCTGTCTGGCACAGTGTCCCGTAGTGGCTGACCAGAAGCATTCAGGAAGGACCAAACTGGGACAAGAGAACCGAAGGCTTTTTCTATTATTGTTACTTAGCAACCGGTGTTCATAAGCAGGCAGCCTCTGGTCTTGGCTCCCATTGATAACAGAGCATGCATGTGCTCTGCTGTTATTTCACAGGATTCGTAGCTAATCCCAGGCATAGCCTGAGGGGAGCTTAGCCCTTTTTCACCCTTACTAGAAATTGAGATTTTTAAGGCGTATTTCTTTAGCAAAGAACTGGGAAACAGAATGTACGATGGGGAACGTTTACATTGGGTCGTCCGTGTGGCGTATTGCCTCTCACAAAGCTTGGAGTCAGATTCGGATAGTGAAGCTTCCAAGAGCATTCTGTTAGGGGAAAACAAACCTTGGAGCCTGAGATAACAAGTTACACAGAGTCTCTTATCTGGTTGCTTCTAATCCTCCCCTTTATAAGCAGAGGAAAGATGCGGATGTATAAGAAAAATAGAGAGAGTTCTTATAGCATAATATATTAGACTTATAGCATAATATATTAGACTTGGTCACACATATATACATGGCAATATATACATTGGCATAGATCTCTCAGAGCAACATAACATTTACATTCAAGTAAAGTAATGACCAGGGACGTGGTGGCGCTGCAGGTTAAACTGCAGAAGCCTCGCAGTTTGTAAGCATGTAAAAATGCGAGTAGATAATTAGGTACCACCTCGGTGGGAAGGTCACGGCGTTCTGTGTCTAGTTGCACTGGCCACATGACCACGGAAGATTGTCTTCGGACAAACGCTTGGAAACGAGGACGAGCACCGCCTCCTAGAGTCAGACACAACTGGACTAAATGTCAAGGGGAACCTTTACCTAAAGTAATGACCACCAGACTCACCACTGGGTGGCCGAGTGCTGCTCTCACTCCCTTGCTTAAATAGTGAGAGCAGCCGATCACTGCAGATACGGCAGCTGAATGTGGTCAACAAGCATTGCCTAAGCTCGTTCCATCTGTATGCCATCAGTCATCCATTGACTCGACGTTTACAGGCATGACTTTGCATGCTTTACTACAATATTTATTTATTTAATTTATTTATTTATTTATTGTATTTATATCCTGCCTGTCTGGTCAAACGATAAAGGATACAAGGTTTAATCATCAAAATAAAACTAAATGACCCACAGTTATAAAGGGAGGAGATTCTGAAACGCCTCCCTGAAAAGTGGGGGTTTTATGTGCTTCTTGAGGAGGGAAGGGGCCTGGCTCACCTCCACAGAGAGAGCATTCTACAGGTATTTATTTATTGTATTTATATCCTGCCTGTCTGGTCAAACGATAAAGGATACAAGGTTTAATCATCAAAATAAAACTAAATGACCCACAGTTATAAAGGGAGGAGATTCTGAAACGCCTCCCTGAAAAGTGGGGGTTTTATGTGCTTCTTGAGGAGGGAAGGGGCCTGGCTCACCTCCACAGAGAGAGCATTCTACAGGGAGGTTTTACAGCAAGCGAGGTTAGCTGCCCTGCTGTTCTTTTAGGTGCTCTTTATAGCTTGAGGTCTAACAAATGACATTTGTATTACTGATTTGTTCATGAATGCTGAAACTCTCCACTCCTCAACACCATTCTTCTTTTCTTGATGACACATCAGAATTAACGTTTTCCGTTACCAGACCTGCAGAACAAGATAATGAAAGATGCTGAAGAGTCTCCAGGTGCTTGTGTAGACAGGAGCAGACGTTTAAGTGCTAATGAGCCCCTTCTGGACCTCAAAGAAAGCCCTTCCAGGACTGAGACCCTCCAAGGCCACCTGAGGAACCAAACCCTCCATGCTGGTGTCGATGAAGTACCTGTATCCCCTCTTGGAAAATCGTTTCATGGAAGAGACGTGTTGTATGAATTCCTGGACCAAGCCGAGTCTCGGGGGGACCCCTACTTATCCGCGCACGGTATCCGGAGAGAAGAAGAGGGCGCTCAGTCGCACAGCGAGGAGGAATACGACGAGGACATCATCGAACCAAGAACCCTGAACGAAATCACCCCGGTGACAGACAGAACCAGTCCCTGGTCCAGCCCTGTTTCCGAACTAGAGCGAGAAGCCATTGGAAGGGCTGCTGAATATGGGCTTCAAGAGCCCGGGACGAGAAGCAGCTCCATGGCCAGCATAACGCAAGAGGATCCTCAGAGCATTCCCAGCCCTGCTAGATCCAGGAGCATCAGCCCATTTCTAGAAGCAGTGGATGAAGAACCTGTGGAGAGGCATGGCTTTGAAGGCAGCACCGGCGAGTCCGGCCAGCCGGCATCTCTCTCGCTTCCAAATCAGGCGGAGGGCGGACCTGCCGAAGAAGACCAAGGGGAGAGCCAGGAAGAACCTCTGGAGACAGAGGGGAAAACAGCCGACAGACAATCGTTTCCTTTGGGCCATGGGGCCAAAGAGGTTTTACCAGCTGAGACCCTTGTCCCAGAATCGAAAAAGGGGGAAGAGCATTTGCATGATCACTACCAAGATGAGGAAGCACTTGATTCAAGCAAAGAGGAGATCCCGCGTTGCCCTGACTCGTTGCAAGCTGCACAACATACTACAAGTGGCTCTACGGAAAGTTGTGAAGACCCCCCTGAAGAGCGACGAAACGTCGCCAAGCCCAGTGTGGTGCTGTATCCTTTTTTTAAAAAAATCTCAGCAGTTGAGCAAAAGCCCATGTTCGGTCTGGATCAATGCAGAACCTCTTCCGTGTGGATTCTGCCTTTAACGAGGCTGCGCCTTGCCATGGTCAGCAGGAGGAGACACGATCCTCTCTCCCAAGGCCTGGATTGCTCCGTGGCGTGGGTCTGGTACCCATTCGGAAACCTGGCTGTTCCAGAAAAGCTGTCTTTGTGGTTCCTTTGCCCTCAGTAAGCAAAAAGGTAACCTCCCTCCAGGCACAGCGGGGGGTTTTTGGGTGTTCCTGTTGCTTTTCTTTCTGCATCTGACATACTTCCTTGCCCACGTGTGTCCTGTGTCAGCAAGGAAGGTGGCAGGCTTGGTGCTGGGGTAGCCCCAACAGCTATGCAGAAAAAGGTGCCACCCAGCCCTGTCAGAAGTGGCTGGCCTCCACCTCTGCCCCAGGCTAGAGGGGCACCCCACAAATCTTGGAACATTACCCTTTCAAGGGTCACACTGAAGATTGTGTGTTTACATCTCTGGCTAACCTTGTGGTGACTGCTTGCAAAGGCTCTCCGGTCACATGTTCAGCACTGGTGTTGTTATGAGTGGCAACACCCATCCGCTCCGCTCACTAGTTTTTAAGACATAATAGTCTTTGAGTTATTTGGAAGGAAGCACGATGTAACATAAGATAATCCCACTTTATATAAGCTGCACGTTCATGCTTTTTTTGGAGTAAATCTGTGTTTATCTCAGCCTTGTAAGTATCTGGAAGTAATAAATGGGTTCCATGCAGCCAAATGGCCAGAGGTTAGAGTTGAAGGAAGATATTGGATCCCATCCAGAACAGGTTTCCCTGATCCTTTGAGATCTTTCTCCAAGGAGCGTTTTCGTTTTGAGGTCTTTAAGATGCCAGGAGCCATTCTGACAGTAAGTTGACATCAAGGTCTCTCTGTGGGGTAGACCTTTCCTGTCAAGTTGAGAGGAGGATAAAGATGCCATATTCTGCCTCTGCAGGTTTGCAGGGGGAAGGATATCCAGTTGTTCATCTCAGCTGAAATCAACTCCCTGAATGAGTGCGACTTGTTCAGTCCCCTTGATATAATGGGTCAGGCTGAGATTAACAATTAATTGGACTTAACCCCCATCAGTTTTATATGCAGAGGGTTGTTGTGGGTTTTTCAGGCTCTTTGGCTGTGTTCTGAAGGTTGTTCTTCCTAACGTTTTGCCAGTCTCTGTGGCCATGGGCATCTTCAGAGGACAGGAGTAGCGCTCTGTGCTCTGGTGCAGTTTGTTTAGGAGTTGAGTATTTATGGCCGTGAGATCAGCTTTTGTCCTTTTCAGGAGATGGGTTATTATGGTGATCAGTGTGTTTTTGTTGTGAGTGAACGCACAACTACTATCCTCTCCTGTCCTCTGAAGATGCCGGCCACAGAGACTGGAGAAACGTTTGGAAGAACAACCTTGAGAATACGGCCAAAGAGCCCGAAAAACCCATAACAACCAGCTGGCTTATCGCTTGCAGTTGTTGTTGTTGTTTAGTCGTGTCCGACTCTGCAGAGGGAACGGCAAATGGTGGCCTCCCCAAGGGGGTTTCTGCAGAGCCCTCCCCTCCCCAGTTAGGGATTGAGGGGTCTAATCGTTTGGCCTAGTACAGGCAGCTTCTTCCTATATCCAGTTAAAACTGGAGGTTCGCCCTGTTTTCCTTAAAGAAGAATGGGAGTTTGCGCAGCAGCCCTTGAGATAAGGAAGAAATGAAGAGTTAACGGTATTGCTGCCCCGTGCGGTCAGCAGCCTTTAATCAAGCACCTCCATGCCCCTTCTCAGTCAAGTGCAATCGCAACTGAAACTCCTTTCCCTGGTTCTCCTGCCTTCTGGAGCATCATGCTTCAGAAAGGTGGAAAGAGTGCCAGTTTTAAGTATAGGGCAGGTTTGGGACAAAGTGGCCACCTCTTACCAACCCAGCGTAGCCTTCCCTCCCCTCCCAGCTGGCTTGCGCAGTGTCCACATGGTAGCAGATGAACCAACGAGAGTAACTGTCCGTTCCTTAAGTCTGCCCTTCAGCTCCGACCCGGTCCTCGTTCCCAATTTCTTCCTTCCACCGGAACATCTGGAGGCTTCCATGAGGTTGCTCGGGGTTTCTTCCTCTCCTGCTCCTGCATGGGCCGGGGCCAGTCAAGTAAGTACGATCGCTTCTTTGCTTTCTTTCTTCCCACCTGTCCTTTCAAAGCATGAAAACAGACAGATGCTCACTCTTGTGAAATTCGATGGGTTTGAATTTATTTAAGGCAGTCGGGTGACCAGCTCAGATTCGGTGGGTTTGGCGTAAGTGCAGAAATTGTGGAAGTAGTTTGCGGAGCCGAAGCGGCAATTCCATCATCACACCAGTCAAGCCTGGAATTTTTAGCATCAGACTTAGCATTCTGAGGATGTTTTGTTTAAAAGCAGCCTCCCCACCTGTTAGGTGAAAAACCAGGGGCTGGACATTTTGGGTTCAGGTTGCTGAAATCCAGAAAGCGGGGCTGGGGTCCCAGCACATGCAGAATTTCTCTGACCCAAGGGGTCCTGTGGGTTGCTATTTGCTCTTTCTTCACGTTCAAAGAAAAGCAAGGAATTGTGCAAGAGAAACAGCTCTGTGTGAATCAGTCTGTGACTAGTCTTCCACCATTGAAACTTTACCGGAATCCTCCGGTCTCTGGAGGACAGAGTTTAGGAGACAGGGCTGCCCTGTGTTATGGACTGTTTGTAAAATCCTTATGTTTTACCATTTACACCTTATTGGAAGCCGCCCAGAGTGGTCGACCAGACCAGATGGGTGGGATATAAATCAAATAAATAAATACCGGAATCCACCGGTCTTTGGAGGACAGAGATTAGGAGACAGGGCTGCCCCCCATGGCCCTTCCTGTCCGCTTCCTGGAGGCGTTTGTCTGATCTGTGTGGGAAAACAGGACACTGGATTAGATGGACTCTGGATCTGATTTAGCAAAGGAGCTTGTTGCTTGAAATGGGCTTGGTCAGAGATGAGAAATATTCCCACTTCTGGACTTCATCTCCTCAGGTATGACAGCCACCTTTCTTACAGCCATGCTAGCTGGAGTATTCCAGGAGTTGAAGTCCAAAAAAGTAAAGTTTCCTATCCCCGTTTCTGATGATCATCATTCATCCAAGGAGATGTTTTCTTGGCCGATTATCAGCTGAGTCGTAGAGCGTGGAGATTAGAGACCTATTGCAGCCGTCTTCATCATCAGCCCTTTGGCTTCATGGCCTGCATGGCCTGTGAATGGATTCATTGGCAACCTGGTCATCTGTACAGTGTTTTGGACCGCTGTCATCACTGTCTTGCTTCTCATGAACATAGGAAGGTGTGAATATTTTTCTAGAGGTACTCTGTTTCCCACGAAAATAAGACCTAACCTGAAAATAAGCCCTAGTCTTATTTTTTCAGGATGCTCGTCATAGAAGCCCTACCCCAAAAATAAGCCCCAGTGAAGAGAAACCCTGCCGTCCACCTTTGTGCAGCCACCAGAAGAAGATGAGACGACTGTAAAATAAAACATCCCCTGAAAATAAGCTCTGATGAGTTTTTTGGAGCAAAAATTAATATAAGACCCTGTCTTATTTTCAGGGAAACACGGTAGGAAGTCTGTGGGCAAGGAATAAGCAAATAGTCTTAAGGCCAAAGATTTCCAGAAGCTGATACATAGCTTTTGAATTTTCAGGGATTGGCCAGAGACCTCAGCTTGACAAACCAGCTCCATGTGGGAAGCTGAGCAAAAAAAGGTAGAGAGGCTATTAAAGCAGAGAAACCACTAAAATTTTAGAAAGAATCAAGTTCTGTCAATCGCACCGTGACCTTTGTGAATTCACGAGTGTGTGCTGGCACTTCTTCCTAGCTGCTTCCTTTGAAAGGAAATGCTGGCTTCTTCAGAAGCATTTTCCCCGAAAGTGTCATGTGTTTTTTATAGCCTCCCTCTCAGAAGGTTGTTTACGTCTGGCCATAAATACAAGGACTTGGTGTAGGTTTCACTGGGCAAGTGACTTATTTAGCGGCTGCTCCCTGCCGAGGGTACTTCGGTGTGTTGGTTTACCCACCCTTTGACCTATAGAGGTAGAAAATCTATTTAAAAAACATTTTCAAAAGGGGACAGCTTGTCCGGGTAAAACTAGATGCAGAACCTTGTGACCTAAGATAGTGAGAATGATCAGATATTCAACAAGACAGCCATGAAATTGTCCTTCCTGGATTCTTGTACCGGTGGCGGTGGTCTGAAAGAGGAGGACGTAAGTTGGGAAGAAGAGGCATAGAATCAATTAATTGGTCAGGAAGCGGTAGATCTTGTCCAGCTCCTAAACAGTTTCTTCATCTCTGTTCGGATTAGAACTCAGGTCTTCCCGTTCCCAGAGCACCACGCCAGCCACTGACCCACCATGCAAAAGGTCTTGGCTGGGATTTTTAAAAAGCTGGCTTTCACCTCTCATCCTGTATCTGTTTGAACAAGGCTGGCCTCTCTAGAAAGCCATAGAGCACCTTGTTCTTTCCAGGGGTCCCCCACGGCGATCCCTGAGGCACGACACCCTTGAAGACTTCCACATTGGCTGGAAAATATTCCGTGGCATGTCCCTGGAACCTTTTCCACTTCTCGGAATGCATTGCTTTGGAAAAATGAATTTGAAATATGAAGAATGGTGCATTATCCAGACAAGATGAATTAGATTCTAGCAGGCCCAAAGGTCCCTGTTACACTTTTCTATTTCAAAAAACTTTGAATATTCACTACTTTGGTGCCCATTGAGGGTGGGGAGAAGCAAGATGGTTTGTTCTCTAGGTAGGTCCACTCCCATTGAACCCAGAGCACAGCTTCAATCCACTGATCATTCAAAACATCTTTGTCACCTCCTCTTAGCCTGCTCTCTGTGCCCACGCCGGCATTTACTGTATGTGCTACAGTCTGGGACTGTTCCAGCAAGTTTCACCTTAACAGCCGAACTACTGTATGCCTCTGTGTTCTTAAGAGGACTGCCTGGTTCATTCAGTCTTCCCGGGGCCTCTAAGAAATCCTCCAGGAAGTGACTGCATCTGAGACGAGCAGGGT